TTTTGAGTTTTAGAAATTTGTGAAATACTTAGTGGTTGTGTATAAAGAAATTCTCCAAGATATGCTTGATAGGTTATTATACTTAACCTGAGTGCGTGGTGAATCCAGATTTCATATTAGCTTGGCTCCTTAATAGTTGTCTAATATTTCTAATTTCTCTTCTGTCTTAGAACAATGAGGTTGGAGCAAATAATTTAGTTTGCCTCTTACATTCTTTATAACGCCGTAGCTTTACTTTCTTTTAATCTCAGCTATCGATTGATCTTTGTCTCATGTTACATTTGGATGTTTATGCATAATTGTTTTTAGACCCTTTACCAATGTTTACCAGTATGGTAACTTTGGCTCTTAGTGGCTTGTTCTACTTAATAAGAGTTTGAGCAATTTTTAAATGCCCTCATATCCAAACAACCAGTTTCCAAGGAATTGAGACAACTTTGTGGTTATTTTAAGAAGCTATGACTGTTTTTAGAAAAAGTCATGACATGTACATATTTTTCTTAAAAATAAATACCAAATATACATTTGATGATTCAGGCAAAAACTGTTGTACTTCTTGATTTAGATGATGCCCTCAAAAGCCTATCATAAAATCTAAGGATAGTTGTCACGTATTTAGAGTACATCCTGTTTTTAAAAAGCACTCTATACTTTTTATTTCCAAAATGCAAGGAAAAGAAGGCTTTCCAATAAATTATTTGTTGTCAATGAAAAATACTTAAAAATCTGTTTCCTTTGATATTTTTTGTGTCAAAAACATAATGATCAAAATTCATTTGTGATTTTTTAATATAACTACATAAGAGATAGCTGTATGTATTCAATAAAATAGATACATTTTAGTGATAAAATAGACTAGCGAAAGCAGAAATATATTCAAAATATTTTAATACTATGTGCAGTTACTTGGAGAACATTTTCAAATATTCACCTTTGGATTTTATGTGGTTGTTGATATGGCTGAAGAGTTATGATACACTGTGGAAAAAATTAGTAAAATTGTTTTTTGAAATAGCAGTTTTAAAAAGATCTTTTGTTCAAGTCAAAGTAAAAAGTATACCTGTTCAGAGCGGAGCAGTAGCCAGTGCAGTGTTTTTTGAAAATCCGTTTCTTTGTCCTGTTGACCAAAATGTTACATCATCTTAGCCTGATGGCATAACTGTCAAAGGAGATTGAGGAAATGAGAAAAAGGGTCAGGCATTTGTAAGTCTATTAATGCAGAAAAAGTGCGTACTTTTTGAGAAAAACCGTAACATAATCTTTGTTTTTTTCAGTGCATTTAACCTTATTTGAAAAATGTTGAGGTAAAAATTCTTGTGGTGCTACATAAATTTGGCTAATGGAAGTTTATATGAGCAAAAGAATAACATAAGGAATATGTTATATGTTAATATATACATTATTGATCATAGATAATTTTTTGTGTTTACAGTTCAAAAAGATAAGTTATGGATAATGAAATAAGGGAACTACATCAGAATTGTTATTCCACTTAATACATTCTTTCTTAGTTTATCTTGGATACAAGATAAACTTTTCTTTATAGATAATCTATGAGTAAAACCCTCTGAATAAAAGATACTTGTTTTAGTAGAAAGTCTTTTTCCAAGCCTTGCATTAACTAAATTGGACCTGAGTGGGAATTAGAAAATAAATTATTTCTCATGAAATGTGCTAGTATCTAATCCTTGATGGTAGAGACACTTTCCAACTAATTTGCTTGATTCAGAATGTGATTTTTGAAGAATTAATCTGGAATAAAACTCATTATTCAAAAGGTTGAGAGGCAATTAAAAGAGAGATGTCACTTGTGTCTGAGAGCTTATGAGAGGGAAGTGGCCTCAATAACAGATGTCAATGACAGAGTGAAGAGTAAAGGGAATTGCAGCTTCCTTTGGAGAGGTAGCTATTATTCCAGTTATTTATAGTCAGAAGAGTTTGTGTATAAGGACTTCAATGTTTAAAATATGTCTTGTTGATTGACTGCTGAAAACAGAGCCAACTGAAGATAAAGCCTCAGTATATTAAGCCTACTAGATTTTTAAATTACAGTTAAATATTTGTCATTAAAATGTATGGCTTTAGGAGGAGAACTTAGAAATGAGATTTGCTAGTCATTGGAAGTGCTCATTAGTGAAGGTCTAGTGGTGTGAAATCTTTTCTCCCAACCTGGATTCCATTGGGTTACCTTTGAGTAACAAGAGTAGAAGCTACAAGTCGGGAAAACTTGTTAAATATTCTAAACTTCTGAAAAATAGTTCTGGGATTCATTTCTAGATATCTGTTTTACAATTATGAAAAGAATAAGGAAAATGAGTTGGAAAATGAATTACATTTAGAGAAATGACTTATACTGGTTGATGAATGTAATGAAGTTCCCAGTGTCTTTGGTAAACAAGATAGCATAAAGTAAATGTTCATCATCCTGGTGAAAATTTCCAGTGCATTGCATTTGCCCTATGTTCTGAGCACAAATTTGAACTGAGGTGAATTGGGAAAATTGAAAAGAGATAGAAATAGCAGGTAGCAGTCTTATTGGAGTAAAAAATTATGCGATCAAAATTTTGCTGAAGATTATTTTGAAAAATGTACGTGGAGAAGAAAAGAAGCTTAATAGAAATCCTGCTAGCTGCAAGTTTGAGAATACTAAAATTTATATCCCATCCCATTGATACTGACTTAATGCCCCCACCACCACCACTATCACCCAGAAAAGCTAAGTAATTATCTGATTGATGGCTGTTATCACTAAAAACAAAAAAATAGTATAACTTAGTCTAAAAATAGGCTTCACCTTTCTCTTTAGTAAAAATGATCTGGAATTTATTATAGCTTTCTTATAACTTTGCCTGAGTAGGCAGAGCTACATAATTTTTAGCTTTTCAGATTATGTGAATTAATTTCCAGTAATTCTCTTGGGTTCTGAAATTGCATGTAATGATACTGTTTTTCAAATAAAATGTGGAATTTGTTCTCCATTTCAGTCTTATAGAATGTCGTTACTTTATGGTTAAACATTACATATCTATAAGATATACAGTCTTGTTCGAAATCTCTCTAAAACAACTTTGTGGTGATTGAAAAAGGAACAGTCATACATAAATCTCAAATAGGTCATGTACAGTTGGTTTTGGAAATTTTTGTACTTAGCAATTTTACGTGGCAAGAGAATTAAGGAATATGCAATTATAATGGATACTCAAAAACCTAATTTTTATTAATCATTGACTTGATACTCATATGTTCCTAGTGTCATGATTGATGGTAATTATCATGGTTTTACTTGACATCTCCATTGCAAAAATAGGTTAAGAAGACCTCAGTTCTGACCCTCCAGGAGTTTTACAAGTAGAAGCACTTAAACTATTATAAAAAACATTAATTTTACATTTTAAATGAAGACTTTGATAAAAGTGGTAAAATGTTTAATGTAGTTTTCTAGTTTGGAGAATCTAATTGGATAAAATAAACAT